TGATGTCCAAGTTTTTGGCACAGCTTCCTGAGAAAGGAACAGCCACCCAGGCTCCATGCCACGTGGTGAATGTGTAAGGCAGGAGAGCAGAGCAGAGCAGAGACAGCAGATCTGCTCCAGGATACCATCCAGCTGCAAACACTTAGCCACCACTTGCTTTACACAGCTTACTTCATCTCCCCACTCCCAAGCTCAGCTGTACACTGCATCACACCCTGCCCTTTCCACAACCTCACAGCATCTCAAAACTAATGCTGATAAGACAGAAAGATATTTCAAGCCCAGAGAAGTCACACCTGACAGACTAAGCTCTGGGCTTTGTGCACTGGCAGAAGGGAAGGGGTGTTTTACTCCTCTGTATATTTTTTGCCAAAACAACCTTAAGCCAAGTCTGCTCAGTTTACCAGACAACTAAGCAGTCCCAGAGATTCAGTATTTCCTGGAGGCCAGTGCATCTCCAAGGAGGACACCCCGGGGGAAGGAAGTATTCATGCACAGGCTGTCTTTAAGGAGATGTAAGCTCAACATGCTCTTCTGTGGTCTGGAGAGAAAGATGCCTCAGAAAGCAGTCAAGGCAGAAATTAACTTCCCAACTCAAATTGCCTTTCAGGAGACCTCTTCTCTCCATCTTTCTCCACTGTCTACACAGAGCCCCTAGAAAGATCTGCTTCAATAGCTAAACATAGTTTTTTGAAAAATGCCCCCACAATTCAACAGTGGCTTTGTCACGGGACTGATCTCACACATGATAATCACCTGGCTTCTCTCTGCAACACAGTTCCACCCTGAAAGAGGTTTCCATCTCACAAGTGAGACGCTTATTAGTCTAAAAAATAAAGCAAGTGTTACTTCTGTCTTCCAGTTATGCCAATTGTCCAACTGCTATAAATGTGATGTCTGAACACAGCCAGTGACAAGAGGACTTCAACTGCACACAGGATACCCAGAATCCTTGTGCAGTTATTGGGAATGGAAAAATTACTGTGAATTTAACTTGTGAAAAAACGATTTGAAGAACAGTCATTATCACTGCCTCCTCAGGGACATGAAAGATTTTGCTGCAGCTCCCCACAAGTCCAAGAAATTGGAGTGTTTAGCTTGTTCTTAGATGTGTGACTTCCCAACAGTTCTTTTGTAAAATGATATATGCCCCATTTCAAAGTAGCTTTGCTGTCTGAAGTGGGGGAAGGTAATTGTGAATGACAGAACTGGTATATTAGAAAGGTCTAATTTATTTTTTTTTTATTGTCATTAATCATTCCTTTAACAGGTTAGAAAACAAAATGACATTTCAGAACATTTCATCATAGTTTATACAGAACCAGTTGATGCATGGTGTCATTTTCTCATCCAAATCCACAGCCACCTTCCAAAGCGCAGAGTTTAGGAATTACAGTGCACACTGGACTAAACTCTTTCACAATGTAAGGCACAACTACATGATCACAAGTAGTAAACACAAACACTGAAAACAGAACTTGAGAACTGAACATCAATTAAAAACAAACAAAACCAAAACACACTCATGCAAAGAACTATCTACACCTACCAAGATGGTATGATCCAGTTTAAAAGAAGTGCAGTACTCTGTAGGTAAAACTGCAACATAAGGCTAGTATAATACATTACCTCAAAATACTGGATAAGAACTTAAAACTTTTTCCATTTATATTTTATACAATTATACAGAAATTAAGTTGTATGAGCAATATTCACATCTGCAATAATCAACTAATCATTAAAATTCAGAAAAGAAGCAAACAAGACAACGTAATTTGTGGCACGCATCCAGTACAGAATATCATTCATCAAGTTCACATCTCAAGTACTGAAGAAAAAAAAAAAGCAGACTACATTAATGGTACATTTGGTGTATGAGGCTATCTATAGCCAAATGACAAAGCTGCATACAAAACAGTTTTTACCCAGCAGACCACAATTACGAAAATTTGTGGTTATGATTTATTTCCTGTCCAGCAGCTAGAGTTTGCAAGATTGAAAATATAGAAGTTAAAAGAATCCAACAGAGTTTACAATAACGTGGAACTATTGGAGACTTTCAAACACACAAAAAGAAAGACTTAACCTTTTTCCTTTTTGGTGAGAAACTTTTGCAATTTTGGCATTCGCTACTTTTACGTAACAGGACAGCGAGCAAATCTTATTAAACTTACCTAATGTTTGAATTTCACGCTGAGAGGTAGTTTAAACAAAATCTTATGTAACAGCATCAAATGGTGGGGTTTTGTGATTTATTTTTTTTGTATGTGATTTTTTTTTCTTTTCTTACAAAAGTGACAAACCCTATACAAGCAGCATTTTGAACACATTACTATAAAAAGTTCTGGTATTTGCTAACCCAGCGAGACATTCTTTCAAACATCCCTTTTGCGCCAGGAATCAAGCTTTAGCGTGATACAACAGAGTACTTTGCCGTAAAGCCAACAGCAGGAGCCTGGACCTGCCAGCACTGGCCTGTTGACACA